ACGAAGCATGTGACAAATAACATTTGATTTGTTGAGAGGTGGGATACAGGGAGGTACCAAAAGACGCTGCAGTTGCGTCAATCAACAAAGCCACTTTTTTGTGACTGAACTTTAGAGGATAAAAGGGAGCCCTGTCTGATCTTCATTTTGAACAGCGTTTGACCCTGCTGCCATCCACATCAAAGCAAAGGTCAGGAGAACACAGACACCCTTTGAGAGAAATCACTTCATATACAATGATGTTCTCTCTCTCTCTATTTACATTTACGTCATTTAGCAGACGCTCTTATCCAGAGCGACTTACAGTTAGTGAGTGCATAAATTGTTCATACTGGCCCCCCATGGGAATCGAACCCACAACCCTGGTGTTGCAAGCGCCATGCTCTACTAACTGAGCTACACGGGACTCTCTCTCCCGCTCTCCCTCCCTCCCTCTCTCCCTTTCTCAATTAAATTAAATGTCCATTCAAAGGTCTTTATTGGCATGGGAAACATATTTTTACATTGCCAAAGCAAGTGAAATAGATAATAAACAAAAGTTTAATAAATAATCGAAAATGTACAGTAAACATTACACTCACAAAAGTTTCTAAAGAATGGAGACATTTCAAATGTCATATTATGGCTATATACAGTGTTGTAATGATGTGCAAATGGGAAAATAAATATGTGTTGTATTTACAATGGTGTTTGTCACAAATCTTGCTGCTGTGATGGAACACTTTGATATTTCACCTAATAGATATGGGAGTCTCTCTCTCTCTCTCTCTCTCTCTCTCTCTCTCTCTCTCTCTCTCTCTCTCTCTCTCTCTCTATCTCTCTCTCTCTCTCTCTCTCTCGACCAGACCAACTGCAGTGGATGGTGGACTCAGACTGGAATGGTTGTGTCGTCTTTTGATGGCTACTGGGATTGGAAAAGTAGAGGCAAGGAGAAAGGAATTTGTGTTGCCGGGAATATAGCAATGTATTAGAGGGCACAAAGAGACAGGGACTGGTGATGTATTCAGGGTACCAGAGGTCTCCAAATAACTACAATAACTACAAGCTATGGTTTGACCATAATCACAGAACTAGAATGACATTCTATTTTTATGACTGCAACAGTGTTCTCAGTCTAAAAAACATTCCTTACCCCAGGATACTTCAACTGGTGACTATCCAGGAGAATAAAGAAAAAGTAGTACTCTGTTTTTGCGTAAACCTGATAGATTTATTAATAGATTTATCGGTCTCTGAGTGCTATAAAACATGAAAGTACACAGGACTAGAATAGATTCTCTTTACTGTAGATTAAATTGAAGTTGATAGATCAAACAATCATTCTATCTTTCACAATGACGGGAGAATCAGATCAGAAGATTGACCATGGTATCATGATTCTGTCCCTTTGGTCAAGACAGATGTTGTTGAAGCATGACCGGCTGGATAAGCCTATTACTATTGCTGACATTTCTCCATGTGAAATGAATGAATGATCACATTATGCTATTCCCAATTTGACATACAGTGTAGTTGTGTACTGGATACAATATAAGATAGACACAGCGCAGTACACCACGTATCTGAGAGAATCTGAGCGGATTACAATATAGCGGTGTCACATAATAAATGAATATACTCTATCTGCTTTAGAGCAGACAGTCTCAGGCCAGCTACAATTAGAGCTGGCTACCCCAGGCCAGCTACCATTACAGCTGGCTACCCCCAGGCCTGCTCACTTGATTGTATTTGAAATGCTTCTGCCTACCCTGGCAGCAGTAACACAGTATTGTACTGCTGATTCATCATTAAAACATGGGGATGTGGACTGTGTGAACTGTAGAATGCACTATGTGTACAGTCGTGGACAAAAGTTTTGAGAATTACACAAATAATAAGTCTGCTGCCTCGGTTTTGATGATGGCAATTTGCATGTACTGCAGAATGTCATGAAGAGTAATCAGATGGATTGCAAAGTCCCTCTTTGCCATGAAAATGAACTTAATCCCCAAAAAACATTTCCACTGCATTTCAGCCCTGCCACAAAAGGACCAGCTGCCATCATGTCAGTGATTCTCTCTAGTGTTGACGAGGACAAGGCTGGAGATCACTCTGTCATGCTGATTGAGTTAGAATAACAGACTGGAAGCTTTAAAAGGAGGGTGGTGCTTGAAATCATTGTTCTTCCTCTGTTAACCATGGTTACCTGCAAGGAAACACGTGCCGTCATCATTGCTTTGCACAAAAAGTGCTTCACAGGCAAGGATATTGCTGCTAGTCAAGAACTTCAAGGAGAGAGGTTCAATTGTTGTGAAGAAGGCGTCAGGGCGCCCAAGAAAGTCCGGCAAGCGCCAGGACCGTCTCCTAAAGTTGATTCAGCTGCGGGATCGGGGCACCACCAGTGCAGAGCTTGCTCAGGAATGGCAGCAGGCAGGTGTGAGTGGCAGCAGTCTCCTGAGTGGCGCAGTCTCCTGAGTGGCGCAGTGGTCTAAGGCACTGCATCGCAGTGCTAACTGTGCCACTAGATCCTGGTTCGAATCCAGGCTCTGTCGCAGCCGGCCGTGACCGGGAGACTCATGGGCGGCGCACAATTGGCCCAGTGTCATCCAGGGTAGGGGAGGGAATGGCCGGCAGGGATGTAGCTCAGTTGATAGAGCATGGTGTTTGCAACGCCAGGGTTGTGGGTTCGTTTCCCACGGGGGGGCCAGTATAAAAAAAATATGTATTCACTAACTGTAAGTCGCTCTGGATAAGAGCGTCTGCTAAATGACTAAAATGTAAATGTAAAAATGTGAGTGCATCTGCACGCACAGTGAGGCGAAGACTTTTGGAGGATGGCCTGGTGTCAAGAAGGGCAGCAAAGAAGCCACTTCTCTCCAGGAAAAACATCAGGGACAGACTGATATTCTGCAAAAGGTACAGGGATTGGACTGCTGAGGACTGGGGTAGGGTCATTTTCTCTGATGAATCCCCTTTCCGATTGTTTGTGGCATCCGGAAAACACCTTGTCCGGAGAAGACAAGGTGAGCGCTACCATCAGTCCTGTGTCATGCCAACAGTAAAGCATCCTGAGAGTGGGCTCACTCACAATTCTGCCTAAGAACACAAAGAATGGCACCAACACATCCTCCGAGAGCAACTTCTCCCAACCATCCACTTGTGCTCGATCCTCAAGAGGCGGGTGGACAAACAAAAACCCACAAATTCTGACAAACTCCAAGCATTGATTATGCAAGAATGGGCTGCCATCAGTCAGGATGTGGCCCAGAAGTTAATTGACAGCATGCCAGAGTGTTGCAGAGGTCTTGAAAAAGAAGGGTCAACACTGCAAATATTGTCAATAAAAGCCTTTGACACTCATGGAATGCTTGTAATTATACTTCAGTATACCATAGTAACATCTGACAAAAATATCTCATAACACTGAAGCAGCGAACTTTGTGAAGACCAATACTTGTGTCATTCTCACAAACTTTTGACCACCACTGTAGTTGTGATCAGGGAACAGAGAAGTTTGCCTTCAGGGCCCTAATCAGACGTGTGTGTGTGGGGATATATGTTTGTGTGAGTATGAAAGACACCGTTCATATCAGATCATGCACACACACACGTCTGATCATTGTTCTGTGTTTACATTGTTGATCTGAGTGCTATGTGAATGTATAATGTCTGTGTATGTGTACGTTGTGTACGTTGTGTACGTTGTGTACGTTGTGTACATTGTGTACGTTGTGTACGTTGTGTACGTTGTGTACGTTGTGTACGTTGTGTATGTTGTGTACATTGTGTATGTTGTGTACGTTGTGTGCGTTGTGTCTCCTATGTGTGTACACATTAGTGTGTGTGTGTTAGGCTGCTTTCTGTGTGTGTGTTTTTTATTGTGTGCGTGCGTTGGTGTGTGTCCGAATCCGTATCTCACTGTGAGGGCAGCCGAGAGCTCTCTAAAGTCAATCTCAGAGAGACTAGCAGGCAGACATGGAGGGCGGCTGCAGAGCAACACGTTTGATTGACAGGCCCTGTGCTTACCCAACATTGAGCCAGGCCTCTTTAAGGAGTGAAGGAGTGCTTGCCAAGCGGAACCCTAAAGAACACCCTGATTTGCAGTCTTCTGTCTGGTGAAGGGAGGGAGGTTGGGATGGAACGAGGAAGGGCAGGAGGGAGGGAGGGAGGAAGAGAGAAATGAAGGGACGGAGGGATTGAGGGAGGGTGTGACTCGGTAGGTTAACTGCTACTGGAGAGACTGATCCTGGCCCTGCTGAACCACCAGGGAATCAGTCTTTAGATTTAAGGGCTGACCTGAGCACGCACCAGGCCAGGGCTTAGTCTAGCTCCTCCTGGAGAACATTCAGTTTAGTCTCTCTGCTCCGTTGGTGGTGGAGGAGGAAGAGGAGGTGGAAGAGGAGGAGGAGGAGGAGAAGGAGGAGGAGGAAAAACACAGTCTGCATAATCGGCATAGCAACACAATTCACAGGAACAAGAGCCGTTTTGTTGTTGTGTTTTGTTTTTCTCCGAATTACGACTCTAAATAACCTTTTCATTAATAAATCACTTTTGAAATAAACACAAAAGGTCATCCTAGAAGACAAGATGCAAACCAGTACTGACCCCATCTCTTTAAATACCACTGTCTTTCTCTCTCTAGATTTTTGGTCATTTAGCAGACGTTCTTATCCAGAGCGACTTTCAAGAGCAATTAGGGTTCAGTGCCTTGTTCAAGGGCACATTGCCATATTTTTCCAACCAGCGACCTTTCAGTTACTGGCCCAACGCTCTTAACCGCTAGGTTACCTGCCGCCGTCTTCTCTCCTCTGGTCTCTTCCTGCCACTCTCTCTGACAGCTCTCCCACTCCCTCTGACAGCTCTCCCATTCCCTCTGACAGCTCTCCCACTCTCTCTGACAGCTCTCCCACTCTCTCTGACAGCTTTCCCACTCCCTCTGACAGCTCTCCCACTCTCTCTGACAGCTCTCCCACTCTCTCTGACAGCTCTCCCACTCCCTCTGACAGCTCTCCCACTCCCTCTTACAGCTCTCCCACTCCCTCTGACAGCTCTCCCACTCCCTCTGACAGCTCTACCACTCTCTCTGACAGCTCTCCCACTCCCTCTGACAGCTCTCCCACTCCCTCTGACAGCTCTCCCACTCCCTCTGACAGCTCTCCCACTCCCTCTGACAGCTCTCCCACTCCCTCTGACAGCTCTCCCACTCTCTCTGACAGCTCTCCCACTCTCTCTGACAGCTCTCCCACTCCCTCCTGCAGCCTTCATCATCCCACACATATATCCAGGATGTGATGTGAGGAGGACTATAAATATCAAAAGGGTACAGAGGCCTGGCAAGCCTTTACATAATCAAACCAGATACAAAAGCATATTGTGTCATATACATATTTTGGGGGCGTTATGTATTTCTATTGAAGAGAGGAATGGAAATACCTCAGTGGGCAACAAGTCAGTGGGTAGACTGTGTGTTACATAAAAGTACACACCAGGGTTTCCGTTAGCTGGTAATAGTCGGCTTTTGGCCATTTTTATTTTTTTAAGCCGGCAAATAAAAAAAATAAAAAAATTAATGTTAGCCTATTCATTGAGGGAAATATCAATCGATGTAAATACATTTGACTGGTCATGCTTATCGGTCTATAGGTTAATTTGCATAATTTAGTGGTATTTAATTGGCGCGTGTGTACAGTATATTCGTTATGTATCTTATTCATCACACACGTACAGCATACAGATACAGAGCCTTTGAGTGGAAAATCATTCAGACAGCAGGAGAGCTGCTGCTACAGCATCTCAAACAGCAAATGCATAGGCAACGGAAGGCAGGCTTCATCAGTGCGTCACACACCACTTGAGGCAATGAGGTAGTATACAGTGAGGGAAAAAAGTATTTGATCCCCTGCTGATTTTGTACGTTTGCCCACTGACAAAGACATGATCAGTCTATAATTTGAATGGTAGGTTTATTTGAACAGTGAGAAACAGAATAACAACAAAGAAATCCAGAAAAACACATGCATTATAATAATGAGGGAAATAAGTATTTGACCCCCTCTCAATCAGAAAGATTTCTGGCTCCCAGGTGTCTTTTATACAGGTAACAAGCTGAGATTAGGAGCACACTCTTAAAAGGAGTGCTCCTAATCTCAGTTTGTTACCTGTATAAAAGACACCTGTCCACAGAAGCAATCAATCAATCAGATTCCAAACTCTCCACCATGGCCAAGACCAAAGAGCTCTCCAAGGATGTCAAGGGACAAGATTGTAGACCTACACAAGGCTGGAATGGGCTACAAGACCATCGCCAAGCAGCTTGGTGAGAAGGTGACAACAGTTGGTGCGATTATTCGCAAATGGAAGAAACACAAAAGAACTGTCAATCTCCCTCGGCCTGGGGCTCCATGCAAGATCTCACCTCGTGGAGTTGCAATGATCATGAGAACGGTGAGGAATCAGCCCAGAACTACACAGGAGGATCTTGTCAATGATCTCAAGGTAGCTGGGACCATAGTCACCAAGAAAACAATTGATAACACACTACGCCGTGAAGGACTGAAATCCTGCAGCGCCCGCAAGGTCCCCCTGCTCAAGAAAGCACATATACATGCCCGTCTGAAGTTTGCCAATGAACATCTGAATGATTCAGAGGAGAACTGGGTGAAAGTGTTGTGGTCAGATGAGACCAAAATGGAGCTCTTTGGCATCAACTCAACTCGCCGTGTTTGCAGGAGGAGGAATGCTGCCTATGACCCCAAGAACACCATCGCCACCGTCAAACATGGAGGTGGAAACATTATGCTTTGGGGGTGTATTTCTGCTAAGGGGACAGGACAACTTCACCGCATCAAAGGGATGATGGACGGGGCCATGTACCGTCAAGTCTTGGGTGAGAACCTCCTTCCCTCAGCCAGGGCATTGAAAATGGGTCGTGGATGGGTATTCCAGCATGACGATGACCCAAAACACACGGCCAAGATAACAAAGGAGTGGCTCAAGAAGAAGCACATTAAGGTCCTGGAGTGGCCTAGCCAGTCTCCAGACCTTAATCCCATAGAAAATCTGTGGAGGGAGCTGAAGGTTCGAGTTGCCAAACGTCAGCCTCGAAACCTTAATGACTTGGAGAAGATCTGCAAAGAGGAGTGGAACAAAATCCCTCCTGAGATGTGTGCAAACCTGGTGGCCAACTACAAGAAACATCTGACCTCTCTGATTGCCAACAAGGGTTTTGCCACCAAGTACTAAGTCATGTTTTGAAGAGGGGTCAAATACTTATTTCCCTCATTAAAATGCAAATCAATTTATAACATTTTTGACGTGTTTTTCTGGATTTTTTTGTTGTTATTCTGTCTCTCACTGTTCAAATTAACCTACCTTATAGACTGATCATGTCTTTGTCAGTGGGCAAACGTACAAAATCAGCAGGGGATCAAATACTTTTTTCCCTCACTGTACATTTTGAAAATGGTTTGAAACCTGAACCTGAATGAATCCGTTCACATGTGCAGTGCGCTTTTGACAACAGTGTTTTCCTACTAATTGCATTGTGGAATGGACATTTGTGCGTATCCTACTGCATTGTGTGCATTTCTGCGCTTATAATGTGAAGAAATAATAGTTTATCAACATTTAAAGCTAAACGTTCTGATTTGTTGCATCAGACTTTTAGTGTAGCCTAGGCCTACTGGTTGTATGAATTTGGGCTCTATCTTCCCACCACTGTCCCAGAGTCTGTGTTGGAATAGGCTATTACTTTCTCAACAAGCTGACCAATAGAATAGGTAAACATTTCTACTATGGGGGATAGTAGACTGGCATATAGGCTAATGATTTTGCTGTTCGTTACTCGTCTTGTTGGCTGAGGAAAAGTAAATGTGGACAGTTATTCTAACATCTTCAAAGTGCACATCAGAATTCGGTAAGAAGGACCGCATATCGTGCCATCCTCGACTGTTAATATGAATGACCATTATCTAAATGTGACTTTTGTCATTTTGAGCACCGTCAGTAGACGCCCTAATCAGGTTACGAACCCAATGCATTTGGTCCGGTAAATTTCTCAAATGTCTGGTAAATTAAAATACTCCTGGTCAAATGTCCGGCGCCACATTTTCCAAACGGAAACCCTGACACACACATATGGATGCAAGGACGCAAACACACACACTCACACACGCACACAAACACACAAATACAAACACACAAACACGCACGCACACACACACACACACACACACAGCCCTTTAATCCTGTAAAAACCACAGGCTTAAAAACACAACCATTCTCCCCAATGAGCAGCCTATCTCACACAGCAGTAACGGAAACCCTACACACTGTCCACCAGATTTACCACAGGGAGGGTGTGTGTGTGTATGTGTGTGTGTGTGCGTACTGAACATAGAACATTTTGCCAAAAGGTGTGTCTGTGGTAAACTCTTTAATGCTTGAGCCAATCTCTCGCTTGATTTTTCCTATTCCCTCCAGGATAGAAAGATACCAGCAGCAGCATATGTCTCGGATGAGCTCCTGCAGTCTCTGACATGTACAGTGTGTGTGTGTGTGTGTGTATGTGTGTGTGTGAGTTCTTGCGTGTGTGCATGTTTGTACAGTCTGAGCTGAGCTGAGTGTCTGTAATGCTTTTTGTGACTGGATCGATGCAGCTCCTCTGGGGCTTGGGGTGACTGAGTGGGGCTAACAAACTGCCTTGCTGCTGTGCCATTCACTGGGAGCAAAACACCACCTCTTAGACCTCCTGCAGTAGTTACTCAGTTACACACATGTTGTTTGGGGAAATGTTTTTGGTGTTTAAAAATTTGAGTGTTGTATTTTTTGTCTCCACTCCACAGATAACATACATTCAGGGTTATCGTTGTGGAAAAAATATAATTCTCAAAGTCTTAAGATTTCTGAGTGTTGCCAACGTTACTGAAACCATAGCAACATTGTCAGAGAGGCAGCAACCTAGAAGCTCTCCTTGTGACTGCTACTTGATAATAACCAGATTTTGATAGCTCTGCATACTTGCTCTGAGGCGAAGGGTAAAGTTAATTTTTGAAAATATGATCAGCTAACAGTCCCTCCTTTTCTCTGTTATTCTCCTTCTTTCCTCTCCATTAATGTTTTATCTCGCATAATGCATATGTGGTGACACAGGAATCAGTGCAATAAGAAGGTGCTAGCTGCTGTTAACCAGTGATGATTTCTCTATCAGAGTCCATAATGGCCAATTATAGTTATAGGCTCCTCCGTTCTGCTTGAGCACAGCCAGACTCGGCAGACCAGACCATGTGACTACCACAGTTTACTGTTGCTTGATCACATTAACAGAAAAAAAACGCTCTCTTCCTACAGTGGCTATTGTGAAACTGACTGGTTCACAAAATACAAAATGGTGACCTTGAGCTAGTCTGGTGTTGATAGTCTTTTACAAAGATAATAGTTAGTGTGTTCATACAGTATGTGTGCTCTGTTGCTCATAAAGGCAGGTTCCAGACCTGTGGCTGTCATCTCTTCCTTGTGGTGATACTGTGTCTTTGTCCCAAATGGCATCCTATTCCCTATATAGTGCACTACTTTTGACCAGAGCCCTTTGGTAGTGCACTATATAGGGGATAGGGTGCCATTTGGGGCATAACCTGTATGTATGTTGGCTACTAGTGTCTTTCCACAACCTGAACACTGTCAGCTATTAGCAGTGTGATCAATAAGGCAGGACTGGGGTCAAATCCATTCAGTCGATCCAGGAAGTAATAATCTAAGACAATGAGGATGAATAATGATGACAATATGCTGATAATAACAACAACAATAATAATAATAATAATCATGAGATAATTACATTTTAGGTATAGGCCATCATTGTCCTTCTAGGTCTAGGCAATCATTGACAATGAGACCATACAGTTTGGGCTCTTTGCTCTGGCGGATGATTGGATGATTTGTGTATGTTTGTGTATTGCCGGGCTCATTTGAAAAAGAGATATGGGTCTCAATGTGACTCCCTGTGTAAAATCAAATTAATTAAATAAATTAAAGTTTGTGATCCCTCACCTTTTTCTTCATCTTGACGTTCTTGAAGATGGCGTGGACTCTCCAGGTCTTGGCAAACATGGCACCAAACGCTGTTGTGTACCCTACGATGAGGATCCACGTTCGCACCTGCAAGACGGGGACAGAAACAGTCTCGTCAATAGCTGGCAGAGAGTTGGACTTAAACAAAGATCTAGACTGACAAGCTATTAGCATTTGTCTTTTCTTATCGGACAAATTCACCAAAAAGCTCTAGAAGTGCACTAAAAATAATTCCATGAAAGTGAATGTGTAAACTTGAAAGGAAGTCCTAGACTTACATCATGGCTGTCAAACTTGTGAATGTGTGTTATTAAAATTACAAACATAGCAGCATCTCCCTTCTTGAGATTCAAGGATATTAAAACGCTACAAATCCTACGATGCCTACTGTAGCTAGGCAACATCCATATTTAGAATGAGTTGTAACTAAATAACAGCAACAAAGCTATATCCTGTAGTAACTCCCACAGTATCTCATTTAACAAGCTGGAAAAACACCACTTTAACACCCACTGCACTAAATGCTGTTTGTGTTTGTTTGTCTGTTTGTTGAAAGGAATTATTGGAAGGGAGGCACAACCACAATGTAGGCAGAAAGCAATATGTGGAACAGACCAAGGCAACAGACTCAGCAGCAAGCTTATTCTCCCCCCAGTGTTGCCTGAGGAAAGTAAGAAATCAGCCGGGCCCTTCAGCCACAGGGGCCCAAGCAACCCTGATGATACCAGACGCCTGCAGCCAGCTCTCCTGGGGGCAACGACCACTCTCTTTCTCCTTTCTATTGAGGAGCAATGATGCACTACATAAAACACTGGCCTGGTTTGTTTTGAGAGTGGAATATATTTTGTCAAATCAAAAGTTAGCCTATCAGGTGTTTCTGTTAGTGGGGAGAGGGAGGGTGGAAGGACAGCAATATAGAGAAAAAGAGAAAGACAAAACTATTGCAGCAGCCACACAAAGGAAACACAGTGCATATTGATTGGTGGATCACACATTTTGCCTCAGCACCTCCTCTCTGATGTGACAGCCTCCATTTTGGATTGTTTTGTCTGAGGCGAGCCAGGCAGGCAGACAGGCACCCGATAGCAGTTGATACGTGCTGCGCCTCCCGCCTAGCTAACATTATTTAACTTGATTTATCTCTGTGGAAACCAGGACTGAGTCCCAAATGGCACCCTACTTCCTATATAGTGCAGTACTTTTAACCAGAGCCCTATGTGTCCTGGTCAAAAGTAGTGCACTTTATAGAGAATAGGGTGCCATTTGATTATAGTTATCACTGTAATCAAACCTCTTTAATTAAACCAGAGGCTCAAATAGTCACGTTCAAACTGTTGCTGGGGGAGCAGGAGCTTAATATGCTCCATGTTAGGAAAGACCCAGGGACTGATCCAATCAACTCCCATTATATTAACTTTCTGATGGAAGGAATGTTCACCTGGATTTCATACCTTTTAAAGGAAGGAGAAGAATGATAGCTAATAGCTAATATTAGCCTGGGTCGCACACTTTGTGAAGGGGATCAAGAGAGAATGCTAGCTAGCGTTAGCCTGGATCTCACAGCTTTCGAAGGGGAGAAGACAGACGAGAATTATATAGTGTTAGCCTATCGTTAGCCTGGGATTTCAAACGTCATTAGGACAGCAGATATGGGGTTCGAGCTATACAGGTTCAATACTCACGGTGCACAGGGCCTCAAACTCTTTGTCGGACACCAAGGCGCCGTCCAGGCCAAAGAGGAAGATGGAGGAGTAGGAGAGCATTCCTCCCAGGATGATGAGGTTGTTCATGTAGGGACTGGACATCTTGATCAGTCTATAGGGAGAGGAGAGTTACAATACAGGGACAGCAAGTTCTGAAATTGTGAGAGGAACACAGAGTTCCAAAATTGAAAAACTCAGAAGGACATTTTTGGCATTCAAACATAGTGGAGCGGCTTGGGGAGAACAGTGATCCAAAAGTGAAGATCTCAGATGGAAAATGTTTACATTGAAACACGTTTTTGTCTTGGTAATCTACAGGTGCGAATTCCCACTTCCCAAAGTGTGTGTTTTCCCATTTCCATTCCAAGTAAAAGGGAGTGACATGTAGATATACTGTATCTTTCCTAAATTACATTTTACACCTAACAGGTGCATGTCAGATAAGTGCAAACTCTATTTATTTAAAAAGTGCAGTTCAGTAGTACCAATCTACATACACTATTTGTATTTGCTGAGGGGTGTGTTCATTAGTGTGCACCGTAGCAAACCGTAGCAAAAGGTTACGAAAATGTGAGTTTCTTATTGGACAAGTTCAAGTAAGTCCCTCCCCGTTTCTGCCCATTTGCTTCCGCTTGGTTCCTAGTGAATACACCCCAGGATGTCTTTACGTTACAGTTTATCACATCACTTAGGACAGCATGTCCCAAACCATCGTGTAAATCACGACTCAACTGTACATCATCAAATCAATAGGTAATAACATCTGTCTCCAAATGCAAGCAGAGGGGATATCGGCAACACCCCATCTATGGTCCTGATGCTGCAGAATCAGGTTTAGTCGTAATGTACAGACTAAGGTGAACAACATGGGTCCCTATACACACCATGTCAATTAACCATATTCCTTTTTTCCATCTTGTGTTATTCATTGTATCTGCAATAAAGTTGATTAATTATGTTATAGGGGCTATGTCCTGTCTAAAGGCTGTGGCTCTATTGTCCTGTCTAAAGGCTGTGGCTCTATAGACCTGTCTAAAGGCTGTGGCTCTATTGTCCTGTCTAAAGGCTGTGGCTCTATAGTCCTGTCTAAAGGCTGTGGCTCTATTGTCCTGTCTAAAGGATGTGGCTCTATTGTCCTGTCTAAAGGCTGTGGCTCTATTGTCCTGTCTAAAGGCTGTGGCTCTATTGTCCTGTCTAAAGGCTGTGGCTCTATTGTCCTGTCTAAAGGCTGTGGCTCTATTGTCCTGTCTAAAGGATGTGGCTCTATTGTCCTGTCTATAGGTTGTGGCTTTATTGTCCTGTCTAAAGGCTGTGGCGCTATTGTCCTGTCTATAGGCTGTGGCTCTATAGTCCTGTCTAAAGGCTGTGGCTCTATGGTCATTATTTTACATTAACATACAGTAGGAAAACCTGAAATGATCTTTCTCAAAATTGTTTGTATAATTTCCCATAAAATAATCTGTAATCTGAATATTTTGTTCCCTAAAAAAGATTGTATTTTTATTTTTATGTGGCAACCCCACTGCAACTCCATCGCAACCCCTTGGGGTCCTGACCCAGTCTTTGAATATCACTGGTGTAGGGTGAAGTTGACCATAGATCTGTCCTGAGAAGAAACTCCACCCCGGAGCTCTACTAGTCTGACCAGTATTAGTACACCAAACTCCAAGTCCTCCTGACTTCAGACTCTGGAAAGGCTCCTTGATGTTGACGACGCGTCGATAATGAAGGGGCTGTACTTTTTTTTACTGATTGGTTCTCCTCTGTGTCTTTCTCACTTGAACATCCACATGGAACAACCACTTCCAATACAACTGTTGGATTTTCAAATCCAAACAAAGTGCGGTCTCAGATTCTCAACCCCCCAGGAAAGAAAAAAAAAACATTTGAGAGAACCAATCAAACCTCAGCCCATTTCTACACGTATACTGCATTTACAATGGACTCCTGTCCAGACCAGTGTGTCACAGCTCTCCCTTGCTGTGAGCTCTACCCCCTCCTCCCCACATTCCCTTCCCTCTTCCACTGACCTGTGGTTGCGGTTCTTGATGTTGAAGAAGAGGAAGGCCCCTGCCATGAGCATTCCCAGAATGGTGATAACAGACAGGATGCTGTAGAGGGGTACGTTGATGTTGCGACGCTGCAGGCGCACAAATGTACGGTCCTTAGGAGGCTCCACCCCTGGAATTAAGAGGAGGAAGACATTGCCATATATCAAAATTAATAATAACTTCTTCAGGGGAAGGATAGACAACCAAAATGAGCCCTCACCAGTAACCTATTTAACATTGAAAAACAATTCCACAAAAAGGAAAGTAACTTCATTTGGAGGCTCCACTCCTGCTATGAAGAGGAAGACGTTCACATATTTTTTTGCCATTATAGTAGACCCACTGGGCAAAAACTGGTTGAATCAACATTGTTTCCACATCATTTCAACAAAAATATTAAACGTGATGATGTTGAATCAACATGGAAAACTGATTGGATTTGCAAAAAGTCATCAACGTAATGGAATTTCTTATTTCTTTCACCCAATCTGAATTCACGTTTGATTCACGTTGACAACTCAACCAAATGTAAATCAAAACTAGACGTTGAACTGACGTCTGTGCCCAGTGGTGATGTTCATAGCCTGAGAAATGTACCATAATCCACATAGAATGATTTAGATTTTAAGTCCACTTACCCAGCGACATTGATTCTGTCTAAAGTACTGGACACTTCTACAGGAGAAGGATTGATCCAAAATTAACCCTCACCATTAGGCTACTTAACATTGGAAAACGCCTCAATTTGGCTACTTTCTTATCAGCTGTGTAAATGTACCTCCGTACAGAATCAGTCATTGTGGTCAGTTACTGTTGTTTGTTCTGTTTGCGCTTTCCTTTATCCGCCCTCTCCGTGTCTTTGCCAGTGTGCCAATCGATTTCAATGGCTCACCTTACTGAGCTCTACTTACGGTGGTTTGAGACGTAGAAACAATTGTTTTAGCTAAAACTGTCCCAGATTGTGTGTCTATGGGACAACAGGGAGGGAGGAATTGGTGGGGTACTGTGGTAATCGCCAGGAATCATACAAAAGACAAAGAATGTCAACACAAGCAAACATGGAGACATAAAAAGGCTGGTAATAATTAAACATAGGATGATTGGTTGAGAGGAGCATTCTGGATGCCCTGGGTCCCACGGAGGAACTGCATTGCGCGTGCTTGCGTGCATTTGTGTGTGAGACGAGTGTAGTGAACACACGCACACACGGTCTGATCTATCTACCTTGGAACCTCATGGTGTTGTTAATAAGGTCCAGGACATCAGCGATAGCGTTGTACTCTCCGACCTTCACCTCCTGACCCTCTGTTAGGAACACAAACAGAGAAGGACACATCAGTTAGGACAGCATGGACACCTCAGACAACATTCTTACTCTCAGTCCACTACATAGCTCTTGCAGAGCATAACATTGCAGAGATCTGACCCAAAATAACTACCATTTCAAATAGACAAGATGGTACGTAATCCAATGCTAGGAATACTGCGGTGTACGGTCTCATTTACGCCGTGTGTGTTTTAGCTAAGTGTGTAAAACAGTGATTTGATCAAGATAACAGAGAGTAGAGGCACTGGTTGAATGTTTTTTTTTAATACAGATTGGTTACAATGGCTAGCAACAGTATTGTACTGGGCTGTATTCATTAGTGCACACCGTAGCAAACAGTAGCAAACTGTTTTGCAATTGAAAACGTTTTGCAACGGAAATTAGCATTTCTTATTGGACAAGTTCAGGTTAGTCCCTCTCCGTTTCAGCCCGTTTGCTTCCGTTTGTTTCCTAGTGAATAAACACATTACCGGAGAGCTAGGTCTCCAGTGAAGAAGCCAATCGTAAAAATAAAAGCAACAATAAATAAAACCAATTGCACGCTGGCATTTGTAACGCAATATCCATTGACATTTTCACAGGTACAGTAAAATGAGTTCAAATTGTGATAGATCCCGAGCCACAACACAAACCTCTCTCTCCTGAGTGATATTTAAACCAGCCATTTCCTTCAAGAGCCATCTTAAAGGCTGATATTGGCCCCACGTGTAATATAGGCTTTCTATTGACCCTGGCACACACACCAGCTCCACCACTCTCCTTCTCATAAAAGAGGGGGACAGTTACACACAACACACTGGGGGAGGAGGGAGAGGAGATAATTATCTCTCTCTCTCTCTCTCTCTCTCTCTCTCTCCTCTCTATCCTCTCTCTCTCTCTCTCTCTCTATCTCTCTCTCCTCTCTCTCTCTCTCTCCTCTCTCTCTCTTCTCTCTCTCGCTCTCTCTCGCTTCTCCTCTTCTCTTCTCTCTCTCTCTCCTACTCTCTCCTCTCTCTCTATCTCTTACTAATACTTTTATATCAATTAATATGCATAAAAGCGTCGCAATTATGACTACTATGGTCCTGAGCTGTTGCTACTATGTTAGGGCAAACCCTTCACCCAACTTCTGAAATGACATTTCACGCCTGTTTGTTCAATTAACTCCTTCATTACTGTAAATCAGATTCAGATTTATACAACTAGCCTGAACCCTGGATCTGTTTGGCATGACGACCATAGGAGCTGGCAAGACAGCACAAACAGATCAAGGATCAGTGCATTTCTATAAATCACATTCAGATTTATGAACCCAAAGCCTAATAAGGTTCTAGACACAGTCTATATGACATCATGGTATAATAGGCTAGTCTATATGGGTACAGAATGGGGATTCATTAAATAATGAATGAACCTTAACTGAAAACATAGGGGGAAACACCTTATTCACACCTCGCTACTAAACCATAAGAAATTACTCAAATATTAATGTATTCCGTTTGGCTTTCGTACACTAGTTAATGTAATGCTTTGTCAAAGGTCACAGTTATTTCCTCACTACATATAGTACCCAAGGCAGCGTTCCAGGTGACTTTGTGTAATGTGATCTGTAGGCAGATGGGATGAGTAGGGTGAAGTTGCCCCTAGACGTTGATCTTGGGTCAGCTTTGCATTTTCCCCCACTAATGATTAAGGTTTGGATTGGGGAGGGGAAGCTGATCCTAAATCTGTATCTTCACCACAGAGTGGGGCTGAAGGTAAAAGACAGGCTCTGACAGTCGGATCCTACAGAAGGGGAATGAATGAACCCACAGTGAGCTGCTTCTGAGGACAGATGACTGGGCTGAGGAGAGGATCATCTCCTGGTTAAATATTCAGCCCAGGCAATCCCTCCTCCCTCTCTATCTCGATCTCGTGTGTCAAACAGTCATCGCCCTGACAAGCCAGGAGGGAGGGAGGGAGAGAGAGAGAGAGGGGAGGATGGGAGACATAATAAGGGCATGATATGAATGGAGGGAGTGAGATGAAAAGAGGAGAGGAGGATGTGGACAAGGGAGGAAGAACTAAGTGTTCAGAGAGGGAGAGAAGAAAAGAAGAGGAGTGAACAGGAGACAGACAGGTGTATGTCAAGGGGGAGGGAGAGTGGCAGGAGGGGGATGGTTATGCCTAAGGCTAGGTCCTCACAATAACATTTCTCTCACAGCGCTATAGTGCAAGCCCTCTCCAGTTCACTGATGATAACATGCCTTTGCTTATCCATGATATGACTGCCAGTTGGCTTCCAACTGAAAAGCTCCATCACTCCCACAACCAAACAGGTCTGCCTGCCCCGTGGGTTTCCACGCACACACACACACATGCGCACACACACACATGCACACACACACACGCAATTTAAGCTGCCACGGGGAGCACCTCTGCAGTGGGGTAGATAAGATGGGGGAGAGTGGATTAATAAAAACATGTTGGTGCTGAAGGAGGGTTGGGCCAGGGGAGCATCCCCCAAATACAGATCACATCTCTGGGTAGAAAATCCCACCCGGCAGCCCCTGGTTCACCTGCAGTCAACAAAAACTGTCTGGATAACCCCAGAGTAGGTTTACTATGACATCATTATCAGCCAGACAGCAACAGCAGCACCCAGTCATAATACTAGAGCAATTCAACAGAACATCACAACAATGCAACAATCCTACAGCATGTGCTTACCTTGAAACTGTGTGAATTTGATCGTGCCCATCCGTTCTCCGTTCCTGAACATGACTTGGCCCTGGATAGAAAAAGAATTCAAAACACATTTAGAACATCTGGCATTTAAAACCACTGAGGTCTCAATGCAGAATACAACGCTATTCTTACATTGACCATTTATGTTTATATCAGCTACCAAGCTGAAACTTGTTTAACCAGCAAAACCATCTGAATTGTTCGCCATCTTCAGGGCACATCAAGTCCCTTGATTAAATTGACAACGATGGGCAACAGCAGATTCAGAGGAAGCAGTAGAGACTGATGATGAAAAGAAGATTGATTTAATTTGAATTTAGATGCACTGTTTTATTGATGTGCCACTAAGTCTTGGCACATTAACAGATTTGAGTGGACAAAGACGTGGTCTGGCATTGGGCTTCTTATTAGTTTAGAAGTCTGCAAAAATTTATATTTTTATACGAGGTAAACAAAATGATTGGTCAGCAGATTGATTTGCTGATATCCTTAGAATCCCAGGAATGTCAGCAAAGGGCTGTCTGATTCCGTAAGGCCTCACTTTTCACAAATGTTCTTTAGTGGAAATCTCACCATTGGCTACTGAACATACATCAATAGTCAGTCCTACTACCATTAAAACTTCAATATATCTTTGATGTCAAACTAATGACACTCCACAACAATCAAGGCCAAATAAAATCATCAATTATATTTTCTGGAGAAAAAAAAAGTCTGTCAACTAACACATTGCCTTTTTCCTCCCTTATCCCTCCTTATCCATCAACACTGACCACTTAATTTGTCCAGCCATCTGCCCATAGAACTCCTTAATTAAACATTTAGCTGCAACTGGGATTACTGGTGGCTACGGAAAAAAAAACAGGTGAACGAGAGAGAGAGAGAGAGAGAGAGAGAGAGAGGGGGGGGGAGAGAGAGAGAGAGGGAGAGGGAGAGAGAGAGAGAGAGAGAGAGAGAGAGAGAGAGAGATAGATAGATATATTATAGAGAGAGAGAGAGAGAGAGAGGGAGAGAGAGAGAGGAGAGAGAGAGAGAAAGAGAGAGAGAGAGAGAGAGAGAGAGAGAAGAGAGAGAGGGAGAGTTAATCATGGAGCTGATTAAAGTAGCACTGGCAGAGAGATGGGAAGGGAGGAAGGTGACGGACTGAAGAACCAATTTTGTCTCAAAAAGACGCAGAGGCTTTGAAGTCTGTCCACCATCTGATTGGTTCCCTGTCTTTGTACGGCATATGTGATTGTGACAGAGTGTATGTCTGTGTGAGCTGGGAAGAGAGCTAGCTAAAGCAACTGCCTTCACAGACCAGGATAACTGTGGTTGGATGGTGTTAACAGTTTTCTGCTGTTGTATGGAATTTAAAGGCCCAGTGCAGTCAAAATTCTGTTTCACCTGTGTTTCCTGTGTTCCTGGGCCTCCTGTAGCTCAGTTGGTAGAGCATGGCGCTTGCAACGCCAGGGTTGTGGGTTCGATTCCCACGGGGGGCCAGTATGGAAAATGTATGCACTCACTAACTGTAAGTTGCTCTGGATAAAAGTGTCTGTAAAAATGTTTTATATCATATTGTACAACAGCTGATGAAACAAACACTGTAAAAGTGTGAAAACATTTGATCAGTGTTATTTCCTGATAGTTGCTGGTTGAAAATATAATCTACACAGGACCTTCTAATCAGCAGGTTTGCATGGGTGGGAGTTTCGGCTTTCCATGGTGACATCACCATGCGGTAAATTGGTTAATAGACCAATAAGAAAGAGAGCTCCAAACCTCTTTGGCAATAACAGCTAGTTTTCAGTTTTCCCCTCCCTACTCAGACCACTCCCAGCCAGTCCTAGCAAAATTCTTGCTTGAGAAGTGGAAGTGAGATGGCGGTATCACTGTGTTTGTGGAGGTGAGATGGCGGTATCACTTTGCTACTTTGTTTCTGTGGGTGAGAAAAGGCAGGATATTTTCCCCAGACAGAGGTTCCGGTTGTGGGCTGCAGGTGTGAATGGAGGGAGTTCCCTGGAGGTCTGGTGGGGGAGCACAGCAGCCAGAGGTGATGAAATTTGCCACTAATACACACACACATGCATACACACACACGCGCATACACACACACCTCTCTGTGTCCGCCTGTAAGGACTCACTGCCCTCAGGCTGTGACACAGAGACCAATACACTGGTACAGTAGGGGCATAACAGGCCACTGGAGTCTCATTCCTCTAGATTTATTTGGTAAAGGTATAGCTCTTCATTGCATAATCACAGCATATTGTACTGAGAACTGTATGTGTAACGCTGCCTATGCTATTGATTAGACCTGTACACACTGACCTGTCTCCTCTGTCTCCTGTCTCCTCTGTCTCCTCTGCCTCCTCTGTCCCCTCTGTCTCCTGCCTCCTCTGTCCCCTCTGTCTCCTGTCTCCTCTGTCTCCTCTGCCTCCTCTGTCCCCCCTGTCTCCTGTCTCCTCTGTCTCCTGTCTCCTCTGTTTCCTCTGTCTCCTGTGTCTCCTCTGGCTTTTCTGTCTCCCATGTCTCCTCTGTCTCCTCTGTCTCCTCTGTCTCCTGTCTCCTCTGTCTCCTCTGCCTCCTCTGTCTCCTGTGTCTCCTCTGGCTTTTCTGTCTCCCATGTCTCCTCTGTCTCCTCTGTCTCCTGTTTCCTCTATCTCCTTTGCTCTCTCTGTCTCCTCTGTCTCCTGTCTCCTCTGTCTCCTCTGCCTCCTCTGTCTCCTCTGTCTTCTCTGTATCCTGTCTCCTCTGTCTCCTCTCTCTCCTCTGTCTCCTCTGTATCCTGTCTCCTCTCTCTCCTCTGTCTCCTCTGTCTCTTGTGTCTCCTCTGACTCTTCTGTCTCTCCTGTCCCCTCTGTCTCCTGTCTCCTCTGTCTCCTCTGTCTCCTCTGTCTCCTCTGTCTCCTCTGGCTTTTCTGTCTCCCATGTCTCCTCTGTCTCCTGTCTCCTCTGTCTCCTCTGCCTCCTCTGTCTCCTCTGTCTCCTGTCTCCTCTGTCTCCTCTGCCTTCTCTGTCTCCTCTGTCTTCTCTGTATCCTGTCTCCTCTGTCTCCTCTCTCTCCTCTCTCTCCTCTGTCTCCTCTGTATCCTGTCTCCTCTCTCTCCTCTGTCTCCTCTGTCTCTTGTGTCTCCTCTGACTCTTCTGTCTCCCATGTCTCCTCTGTCTCCTCTGTCTCCTCCCACTCCTCTGTCTCCTCTGTCTCCTGTCTCCTCTTTCTCCTCTGTCTCCTCTGTCTCCTCTGTCTCCTCTCTCCTATGTCTCCTCTGTCTCTTCTGTCTCCCCGTCTCCTCTGTCTCCCCTGTTTCCTCTGTCTCATGTGTCTCCTCTGTCGTCTCTGTCTCCTGTGTCTCCTCTGGCTCCTCTGTCTCCCATGTCTCCTCTGTCTCCTCTGCCTCCTCTGTCTCCTGTATCCTCTGTCTCCTCTGTCTCCTGTCTCCTGTCTTCTCTGTCTCCTCTGTCTCCTGTCTCCTCTGTCTCTTGTCTCCTGTCTAATTTTTCTCCTCTGTCTCCTCTGTTTCCTCTGTCTCCTGTCCCCTCCAGGCCATACATGAAGAGGATGAATTCCACTGTACATATTCATCAGTGCTGCTAACCGCCCCGGCCAAGCCCTGGAGGCTTCTCTGAGCTAATGTTTGACTTCCTCTATTGCTCTGCCACTAGACTAGATCAATAGCAGAAGGCGCCCAGAGAGGCCGGAGAGCACATCAGACTGCCATGTGGATGGCCGTGTTCTAACCAGACGCATGCGCATAGGCAGTCGCGCATAGGCAGTCACACACAGACACACACACACCGACACAGACACACACACACACAATCAGTGTTTACACACACTCACACACGCGCACGCACCAAAAACATACATACACACACACACAATCAGTGTGCACGCACACGCATACACGCATGCGCACACACACAGACACACAAACAAAACACACACAAACACACACACACAAGCCCCACTACGTTCACTATGTAGGGGTTAAAAGGGAGGGGTGAAAGAAGGGGTGAAATAAGGGTGAAACTACAGAAAGGAGTGAAGGCTTTGGTTTCAGTGGTGAAACTGACCCGCGAAACTAGTACCACTTGTTGTGGTTCACACTGGGGAAGTTAAGGAATTGAGGCGGTGGCTCTCCATGTGGGTCTAGTACATGGGTGATGTGTGTGTGTGTGTGGAAATGCAGAGCCACGATGAGGTATTGGGTATAGTGTGTGTGTGTGTGTGTGTGTGTGTTTGTTCCCCATGATTATCCTGTAATAGACATACACACCTATACGCTGATGCTTCATAAAGGCACATTAACAAACCAATGAGTATTTTCTGATCTGATATGGCACTCAAATACACACAAATAACAAGCTTTTTTATAACCTCATTTAATGTACTGTAATCCCTGTACAGTTATCAGATGGACCAACAATCATAGTGGTGGGAAAATAAGTATGAAATCACTTAAATGAATTACTGCAGAGTATGAGCCTCTTATAGACCTGGAGCAAATGTGATCAATTATTTTTCAAATACCATTTCGGTATTAAATATATATATATATATATTTAGCGAGGTAATTGACTGAGCACACATTCTCATTTACAGCAACGACCTGGGGAATAGTTACAGCGGAGAGGAAGGGGGATGAATGAGCCAATTGGAAGCTGGGGATGATTAGGTGGCCATGATGGTATGAGGGCCAGATTGGGACTTTAGCCAGGACACTGGGGTTAACACCTCTATTCTTACGATAAGTGCCATGGGCTCTTTATTAACCACAGAGAGCCCTCCAACACTACTTCCCGCAGCATCTGGTCTCCCATCCAGTGACCAACCAGGACCAACCATACTTAGCTTCAGAGGCAAGCCAGCAGTGGGATGCAGAGTGGTATGCTGCTGGCATCATATTATGCAATACAGTGAACATGCAATGCAGCAATACAGTGTGCTTTCTGTGCTGCTTTCTGAATAGATGGTAATGGTGGTGCTGTATGTCATCGCCCTGGAGACGCGCACGAACGCGCTATGCACACAAACAGAGACATGCAGCTCAGGCTGCTACCCTGGCAGAAGGACCCCAGGGAGATGAGGCTATCTGGGCTATCCATGTCTCCCTCTCTGCCTCTGTTCTCCAGCAGCCTCTAGGGACTTGCCCAGTGGCAGACCACTTCACCCCAGAGAGGCAGAGGGAACTGCGGGGAGAGAGAGGTCACAGTGGGGTGGTGGTTACGGAGAGGCTCAGGAGGACTATGGTGCACTGTAATGCCCTAAAGGAGATCAACCTTTTCTCCACTCTCAATACTGGTTATGACACAATCTCTCCATCTTTCCCTCTCTACCTCTTCACCCAGCTCTCCTTCACTATTCCTCTTTCTCCCTCTGTCTCTCCTTCACTATTCCTCTTTCTCCCTCTGTCTCTCCTTCACTATTCCTCTTTCTCCCTCTGTCTCTCCTTCACTATTCCTCTTTCTCCCTCTGTCTCTCCTTCACTATTCCTCTTTCTCCCTCTGTCTCTCCTTCACTATTCCTCTTTCTCCCTCTGTCTCTGCTTCACTATTCCTCTTTCTCCCTCTGTCTCTGCTTCACTATTCCTCTTTCTCCCTCTGTCTCTCCTTCACTATTCCTCTTTCTCCCTCTGTCTCTCCTTCACTATTCCTCTTTCTCCCTATATCTCTCCTTCACTATTCCTCTTTCTCCCTCTGTCTCTCCTCTTTCTACCCATCCCTCTCAGCCAGTGGCCGTATCCTACACGCACGCACGGACACGCACACACACACACACACACCACACACACACACACACACACACACACACACACACACACGCACAAACACGTCTTCTCTGTGTAACTGTCTTTGAGACATACTTGCCAGCCAGACTGATCTGTGATCTGTTGGACCCCTCATTTCTCCATAATGTTCTTGGTTTAGAGCCACTAATCGTGATGAAATAGCCTTTACTGTGGCGTGGGCCTGAGGAAATGTCCTCTCACAGTTCCATGCTAAGTGACACACTTACAGTAGAGCTAGGTTGCATGTTGCGAAAAGCGAGCATAGCCAATAAAAACACTGGGATTGACAGTGACAGTCCCAACCACTATTATTCTACATTAGGTCTTAATCTACATTAGGAAATAAGGATGGAACCGTCTCTAAAATTAGCTCTCAGTCTTAGAGAGAGCTATAATTAAAGAGTCATACTTTGACATTTCTGAACTGTATTCATACACATTAATGTGGCTGGTGCCTGGCCTAACAGCTCTCTAGAGTTGAATAAGAATGTAGACATTATTCTAAGCCTGTTCAACATAGGTGGCTGTGGACGACTTTATGTCATTTTGCCCTTATATGACAACACACATGTGGTCCTGACACTCAGTTACATTGTGGTGTGTGTGTGTGTGTCTCTGTGTGCACATGTACGTGTGTGTACATCACTCTGTGTGTGTTTGAGAGCATGACTGTGTGTGTATAATTGAATCAGGATGGGGCACATTGGGAGTGGGGAGGGCCCAGCTGTTGCTTAAAGGTCTGGCCAGGTTCGAGGTCAGAGTCCTAGGTAGAGAGTCTCACGCTGGGGCCACTACAACATGGCTGACCTCAATACTGAAGGCTTCATGCCACTGACCTGGTGGGACTTGGAAGGTCTTATGACAAACATAATTTGGTACCTAAATAGTACCTGTTTTACTGTAGAAAAAAGTATGTATTAAATATATAGAGGGGGTCATTATAGTAGTGGTGGATTGTGCTACCAGCTCTCATAGTATCATGTCAGAATTAGACGTTCATCCATGTTTCTCAAACATCACATTTCGAAGTTGTTCCAAAAGTAGAATTTTGAAGTGTTTAAGGTTAAGTTTAGGCATTAACTCCAAATTCTTAAGGTTAGCCATTAACTCCAAATGGTTAAGGTTAGGGTTAAGGTTTGGGATAGGCTTAAAACAAAAATATAAAAAACAACTTTCTATCGCTGGATTCAAACTTGCAACCTTTGGAATCAGAGGCAGATTCTTACCACCATCCACCATCCACAACACCAGACCTACTTGAAAGTAACAGCACTCACTGTTGCCCCTAGTGTCCGTTTTCCATGTCATCTCCCAACATCCTCAGACATGGATGGATGTTTTTCACGCTCAACAGTTTCCCGTATGTGTTAAGAATGGTCCACCACCCAAAGGACATCCAGCCAACTTGACACAACTGTGGGAAGCATTGAAGTCAAAATGGGCCAGCATCCCTGTGGAACGCATTCGACACCTTGTAGAGTCCATACCCCGATAAATTGAGGCTGTTCTGAGGGCAAAAGGGGGGGGGGTGCAACTCAATATTAGGGAGGTGTTCCTAATGTTTGGTATACTCAGTGTATATATTGTTGTTATTCGTTATAATATTGATAACGAATGTTCCCTAATGAATCACCATTACCCTTCCTTATGTCAAAGCAAGCCATGTCCCAGGCAGAATGGTCCAAACAGACCAGGAGTCTATCTCCTGTTTCTGTAATGTGAGGCAGATTAATGATCAAGTACACCCTCTGGACAGGACACTAGTCTATCTCCTGTTTCTGTAACGTGAGGCAGATTAATGATTGAGTATACCCTCTGGACAGGACACTAGTCTATCTCCTGTTTCTGTAATGTGAGGCAGATTAATGATTGAGTATACCCTCTGGACAGGACACTAGTCTATCTCCTGTTTCTATAATGTGAGGCAGATTAATGATCAAGTACACCCTCTGGACAGGACACTAGTCTATCTCCTGTTTCTGTAATGTGAGGCAGATTAATGATCAAGTACACCCTGTGGACAGGACACTAGTCTATCTCCTGTTTCTGTAACGTGAGGCAGATTAATGATTGAGTACACCCTCTGGACAGGACACTAGTCTATCTCCTGTTTCTGTAACGTGAGGCAGATTAATGATTGAGTACACCCTCTGGACAAGACACTAGTCTATCTCCTGTTTCTGTAATGTGAGGCAGATTAATATTCAAGTACACCCTCTGGACAGGACACTAGTCTATCTCCTGTTCCTGTTTCTGTAACGTGAGGCAGATTAATGATCAAGTACACCCTCTGGACAGGACACCAGTCTATCTCCTGTTTCTGTAACGTGAGGCAGATTAATGACCAAGTACACTCTTGTATCAGGAATAGCCAACTGACTCACCGTGACGCCATAGAAGTTGGTTTCGTTCATGACGTCCAGCACCAGCTTGCCCACCTCCCGGTCGTCCACGGTGAAGTTGTGGTACATGTCCTGCCTCTCCTTGTGCTGCAGTACATCCATGACGCGGGTCAGGGTCTTAGCTATCACCCAGATCCCGTCGTAGGCGAAGCCGTGGTACTTTGAGGGCTCCACCCCCTTCTGCTGCAGCTCTTTACTGTACTCCCTCTCATACTCCTTAGGTGTCTGGATGTAGAGAGAGAGAGGATAATCAATGAATCAATATCTTACTTCTTAGTTGTTTGAATGTAGGGAGAGAGTTTAGATATGATTGCATCCCTAATGGCACCCTATTCCCTACATAGTAGGGGTGTAACGATCCATCTACTACATCGATGTATCGATTTATATTCCTATGATCCAACTACATCGATCTGTGCTCGGCGAGTTGGCCTTTTGGACAACATATATCAATCTAACATCGTTTTAAAATGTAATAAATCGATTGTATCGATACTAGAATAAACCCATTGATTTAAGCACGTCAGACTTTATATGGATGTTTTTTCTTAGCACTTTTAATGATAAAGGCTTTAAACATTACTCGATTCAGTCTGCCTATCCGTGACGTCATCGCCCCGCGCCAGCAGCAGCGCAAAGGCGCAAAGACAACAAAACATAGCATGGCGGACGACAGAGGAGAAGCCGACGAGCGAGAATTATCAAGCCACCATTGCGGGTCCTTACAAGAAACAGGAATCTAGGAAACTTCACCTGCACTGTCCAGTATCCAGGTATTTATTTCAGTCACACTGGTTGAATTTTTGGCTAAAAGGTTACTGAATCGATTTCAAGTCACTGAATCGTTTCGGATCGTATCGTTCTAAATGAACCAATATCGTCCTTGAATCGTATCGACAACCACGAATCGTGATACAAATTGAATCGTTGTTAAAACGAATCGTTACACCCCTACTACATAGTGCACAACTTTTGACCAGAGCACTATAGGGACCTGGTCAAAAGTAGCGCACTATAAAAGGAAAACAGGGTGCCATTTGAGACACAGAGGTAGACTAAAAAGCATGTTCAATGGAACACTCACCCTTCCAGAGATGCCCTTGACCTGTTTGGCGCTGAGCGGTTCAAAGTCCACAGCGATGTATCCCTCCATAGCGGTCAGCAGCTTCTTGGTGGTGCAGTTGGTGGAGTTGGCCTGCTCCCACCAGTTCCCCTGGTACCAGCCTGGTATGATCCACTGGTACTTACTACCATACATGTTCAGGTTGTATGCCTGGGGGAGGGATGTTTTGTTAGTACACACAAATGCATGTCGATGTAAACACACACCACATACAAACACACACAAGAACACACTTTCAATACATTACCAGTCAATACATTACCAGTCAATAATGTCAATATAATTTTTTTTATTTTTTTTTTATTTAACCTTTATTTAACCAGGTAAGCCAGTTGAGAACAAGTTCTCATTTACAACTACGACCTAGCCAAGATAAAGCAAAGCAGTGCGATAAAAACAACAACACAGAGTTACATATGGGGTAAAACAAAACATAAAGTAAAAAATACAACAGAAAATATATATACAGTGTGTGCAAATGTAGCAAGTTATGGAGGTAAGGCAATAAATAGGCTATAGTGCAAAATAATTACAATTAGTATTAAATAGGCTTTCAGCTTTTACTGAAGCTCATTATGGATATCATACCATACATCTGCAGCCCCCATGACAACTTGAAATGTGTGTGTGTGTGTTGTGTGTGTGTGTGTGTGTGTGTGTGTGTGTGTGTGTGTGTGTGTAGAGACAATACTCACACAGCAGAATACTTTGGAGGCCAGATTCTCATCAAACTGTCCGATAATGATCCTCACATCATTATCCTATAGAGATGATAACAGACAGGAGATGTGTCAGTCTTCCACTACAAGCAGCTAAAGAGATGTGTCAGTCTTCCCCACAAGCAGCTAAAGAGATGTGTCAGTCTTCCACCACAAGCAGCTAAAGAGATGTGTCAGTCTTCCACCACAAGCAGCTAAAGAGATGTGTCAGTCTTCCACCACAAGCAGCTAAAGAGATGTGTCAGTCTTCCACCACAAGCAGCTAAAGAGAGTGTCAGTCTTCCACCACAGCAGCTAAAGAGATGTGTCAGTCTTCCACCACAAGCAGCTAAAGAGATGTGTCAGTCTCTCCACCACAAGCAGCTAAAGAGATGTGTCAGTCTTCCACCCACAAGCAGCTAAAGAGATGTGTCAGTCTTCCACCACAAGCAGCTAAAGAGATGTGTCAGTCTTCCACCACAAGCAGCTAAAGAGATGTGTCAGTCTTCCACCACAAGCAGCTAAAGAGATGTGTCAGTCTTCCACTACAAGCAGCTAAAGAGATGTGTCAGTCTTCCACTACAAGCAGCTAAAGAGATTGTCAGTCTTCCACACAAGTCAGCTAAAGAGATGTCAGTTTCCAATACAGCACTAAAGAAGTCATCTCCAATACAAGCAGCTAAAGATGTGTCAGTCTTCACCAAGCAAGCTAAAGAGATGTTAGTCTTCCAATACAAGCAGCTAAGAGATGTCAGTCTTCCACACAGCAGCTAAAGGATGTCAGTGCTTCGCACAGACTAAAGAGATGTGTCAGCTCAATACACAGCTAAGATGTGTCAGTCTGCCACCACCACAGCAGCTAAAGGATGTAGTCTTAAGGTAAGAGATGTGCAGTTTCCACACAGCCAGCTAAGAGTTGTGTCGTCTTTCCACTACAAGCAGCTAAAGAGATCATTAGCAGCAGTTACATCACAATAGTGCACTTTGCATAATATACATATTCTATGCAAATATCACCACATTAAGTATTCCTAAACAAAGGTAATAGCTGTTGTAGCATGAGCATTTGATTGTTTATTGAAAATAAACGTGTGACTTTCCCGAGTGGCGCAGTGGTCTAAGGCACTGCATTGCTGTACCACTAGAGAACCTGGTTCGAATCCAGGCTCTGTCGTAGCTGGCCACGACCGGGAGACCCATGGGCCAGCAGGGATGTAGCTCAATTGGTAGAGCATGGTGTTTGCAATGCCAGGGTTGTGGGTTTGATTCCCACGGGGGGCCAGTATGAATTTCGTATTTATTTTTTTAAAGAATAATGTATGCACTAACTGTAAGTCGCTCTGGATAAGAGCATCTGCTAAATGACTAAAATGTAAATGTAAATGATATGGGCACTTTAAAGAGGTACAATCTTAATTTGACCAGTTTCTCACAGCAGGAAAATAATCCTGCAGCAACAGGAAATGTGAATTATTAATGAACATTTTTGTAGGGGTTGATGCATTTTGAGTTAGGATAAATAAATTCTGACATTTTAATTGGAATTTACAAACTTACAAACCGCACAGGAAAATTATGTGGAACAACAGAGTGATTAAATTAAGATAGCACATATGTAGCTGTTGATATCAGTGTGATTTTCTTTTTTGCAACTTTTTTATTATTCAATTCCAACCAGTCATTCGAAGATTATCACATCAGTGTGATTTTCACCTCATCAGTGAAGTGTAAGGACTACAGGGAACTGGCCTGCTGATGTGGGTGTTGTTCAATGTCCCAAATGGCACTCTATTCCCTTAATAGTGCACTACTTTCAACCAGGGACCATAGGGCTCTGGTCAAAAGTAGTGCACTATAAAGGGAATAGGGTGCCATTTGGGACTCATTTGTGGTGTTTCTTAGCTGGCTATAGGGCAGAGGTGAGGCAAACAGGCAGCAATATCACAGGCAGCAACTGTCAATTCATAACAACTCAGCCATTACTGTCAGCAGGGAGAATTGCTACAAGGAATTGAGAGCACATGCTAGCATGATTAAGTTAGTAAATAATTTACCAGCTCTTCTGTAGGAGCATAGGATTGAAGTCTGAGGTTCACTACTCTGTGTTGGTAGTGCACTGCATAGACCGCCCCAACCCATACAACCACACACAAATAATTTGATTCATCATTGAAACAGGAAGGCCGTGACTCAAAGTGAAGCTTGACTCAGGCTGCATCTCAAATTTCACCCTATTCCCTATACCCTATGGGCCCTGGTCAAAAGTAGTGCACTATGTAGGGAATAGGGTGCCATTTAGGATGTAACCTAAGCCAGTGCCACAGGCATCAAGTCTAGAAAAGGTCAGTTTTGACTGAGGATAGATTTCTATCCAGCTTGAACCACAGCAAGGGTGAACGGTCTTTGCCATTGTCAACAATTAATTTCACCTTATACTGTTAATTTAGTGAAAAAGCATAGCTTGTCTAGTACCCATGGTCAATATCTGTCAAGTAATGCAATAAACAATCATAGACTTTCTCTGAAATATAGGACACTGATATATAATCGATAAGCCCGCTATCATTGTGACATGCAATGGGTGTTTTATCACATTTGTATAGATCTCCTTGCTATACAGGTCAAAGCATTTCCGATGTTGCTTGCTATGCATTTTCCATTGATTGACTGAAATGTAGGTAGTGTGTGGCTACCATACGGGACATAAATCAATTTGGTCAAAAACCCTTCACTTCCCTTTGCACCTTAATTACAATCTCTTCCTGAAAGTCCATTAAAAATCTTCCTCAACATAAATTATTTTGTCATCAGTGAAATTACTTGCTTCTCTGATTGGATAGAGTGAAGCTGTATTTCTCCGTCCACTATCTAACAAGTGGGGCAAGGTTAGGGAAAAAAAATCTGAAAGTAATGTGCATTCTGACTGAGTGACAGTTGAGGACACTCAGACACAGACACACCCCTCTGCGTGCTGCTCCTGCAAGTGGGTGGGCCTATGCCCTCCAAGGCCCACCAATGGCTGCACCCCTGCCTAGTCATGTGAAATCCATAGATTAGGGCCTATTGTATTTATTTCAATTGACTGATGTTCTTATATGAAATGTAACTCAGTAAAATCTTTGAAATTGTTGCATTTTGCATTTATATTTTTGTTCAGTGTATTTAGGCATATTAAAACACAGTATATATGTTAATTAGATTGACGCACAGGTGCGTCAATCAACTGTAGGGGGCCACCCTGCCCACAATACCTAGAATGTTACACTGGACCGTACTCAGAGCCAGAGTGCATGCTGGGAGCAAGCAGAATAGTTGGAGCTTTTATAATAAATAATAATAATATGCCATTTAGCAGACGCTTTTATCCAAAGCGACTTACAGTCATGCGTGCATACATTTTTGTGTATGGGTGGTCCCGGGGATCGAACCCACTACCTTGGCGTTACAAGCGCCGTGCTCTACCAGCTGAGCTACAGAGGACCACTTTTGTGTGGACCACTCTGCTTTGCAGCCACTTTTCCTTTTCAGAAGCCCTTGGCTCGGGTTAAACCAGGCTCTCGTCCTCCCGGGACTGAATGGTGCCCCTGTTCCCTGGAGGAAGGCACTTAACCCAAATGACTCCAGCTGTTAGGGAAGTGGAGATGGACATTTCCAGCCCAGAGAGACCTGGCACCATCCACCATCCTCTGTACCTGGACCCAGGAGAAAATTGGGCTTCATATTTGGTCCCACGATCTGAAAAATGGGCCCCGGACTGGAGGTCTCCGAGTTTTAGTGTGACACTTCTCAATACAGGTCTGTAATTGACATGTGGCGCTAGTTGCCGGTGGAACTGTTACATGTAGCTCCTTTAACGTTGTTCTGTTTGGATCCTGATGGTCTCTTTGATGAAGTTTTGTTATGGCTATTCTGTTTGACTTTCAGATCAGGTGGTTACAGTACAGTATGTACGGATTTTTTTTTTCTTCCCCTCATCAATATACACACAATACCCCATAATTACTAAGCAAAAACATGTTTTTAGAAATTTTAGCAAATTTATCACAAATAAAAAATGGAAATATCACATTTACATAAGTATTCAGACCCTTTACTCAGTACTTTGTTGAAGCACCTTTGGCAGCGATTACAGCCCAAATTCTTCTTGGGTATGACGCTACAAGCTTGGCACACCTGTATTTGGGGAGTTTCTCCCATTAATCTCTGCAGATCCTCTCAAGCTCTGTCAGGTTGGATGGGGAGCATCGCTGCACAGCTATTTTCAGGTCTCTCCAGAGATGTTCGATCGGGTTCAAGTCCGGGCTCTGGCTGGGCCACTCAAGGACATTCAGAGACTTGTCCCGAAGCCACTCCTGCGTTGTCTTGGCTGTGTGTTTAGGGTCGTTGTCCTGTTGGAAGGTGAACCTTCGCCCCAGTCTGAGGTCCTGAGCACTCTGGAGCAGGTTTTCATCA